GGTCGTGAACATATCAACTGTGTCACTAGAAATAACATTTTATAGCCATGCTTCATCTTCTTCATTCAGTATTGTTTCACATGCAGTTTAATAGTAATATAAGAACAGTCAAATCATATTTTCTCATTTTCAAGGATTCCTACATGCCTAGAATTGGGGGAACAAGGAGACACACATACTGTAGATAGGATTTAGCTGTTTATTGTGTGATTACAATACAAGGTGGATAATTGAGTCTGTTGAATTTCACACAAACTGCCAAAGTTTATGTGCCAAAATTTATTATTAAATTTCTACAAGGATAATTTCATAAGGTTGACAATTTATCATATTGTAGTGTTGACGGCCAATTATGCCTGCAATTTTACATAAACATTTTGTGCGACCATAGTTCAAGGTTCAAAGTTCGATTTATTCAGTCATACATGAAATTTGTCTTCCTGGGTAATTAAACATACAATATTAGCACATACAACAAAGATATTAGTAGGCTATATACACATTGTGTACTTCAAACCTAAAAACATTCTGTCCAAAAATCATTCTTTTCTGTACAATCACAATATTAGAATATGTATCATAAGCAAACAAATATATTAGTTCTTCATTAAAGTTTATTTACAATTACTGTAATGGAATATCCTTAAATAGAGATATTAGCTATAGTATGAAATGATTATCGTTGAAAGTTACTGTTAAATAGACGGATTAAGCTTGGCAAGAATGAATTCCTATATCGCACTGTATTAGTCTGAGTTGTTACCAGTCTACCTGATCTGCTTATTACAATATATTTATTTAACGGATGGGTATTGTTATCTCTTATTGCATTAAGTTTAGTTAACATGTTTTCCTGGTATATGCTCTAAATGTTAGTGACTTCTATACCTGTAATTTTTCCTGCCAACTTCATTATCTTATTTAGTTTGTCCTGGTTCTTTCTGGTCAAACCCATAAACCACACGATGCAACAGTATGTAATCACTGATTGAACCATGCTTTGATAAACAAAAGAAAGAGTGCAACTCAATTTTATATACAGTACCAGGCTTATACCCGATTCACACGTACAAAAATCTACCAAAATGTAACAAATTCTTACATTTGCCCAAGCCTGTGAATGCACATCCTTGTAAAACAAATGTAACATCCGTGTAGTAAGAGCTCGGTAATCTTTACCGACATCAGCGAGGTCTAAAGATTACCGAGATGTTACATGACGATAACTGCGCATGCCCAGGAATTTTAATCAAATCGACAGCCTAGCCAGCTGTGTGGCGCGAATTGTTTCAAAACAAACCAAGCCTAATTTCTAGCCGGCCTAGATAATTGCTTATTATATGTACTGCAACATTCAGAATGGAGGAATTCTTATTATCCGTGGTTATTGATGAGAAGAGGAGAAGAAAATCAAACAACAAACATCGTGATTCTAGTGTCGTTAGGATAATCAAACGACGTCAGATATTTCGCCGACAGCTTTTTACTATGCTGATGAATTTGATTTCTTTGAACATTTGCTGCAACGGCAAGTAAAGTAGCCTAGCCTAGGCCTAGCTTGTTCGATTCTCGGCCGATCTTAATATAATAAATATATACTGCCTAAAACCCTCCTTTTTTAGACTCCCATAAACTTAGGATAACGCCTATTTGAATGTGTCTCTCCTGACCTAGGCTAGGTTAGACTGCGCGTGTGTTGCTCACGGACTTGTTGCTCACAAGAGGAGTCAACCAAGCATTTCTAATGACTTCTTTACAAGGATTTTACATGGATGGAAATTGTACGTGTGAATACGACTAATCTCAGTAGGAATATCTCAGGAGATATCCTGGTAACAATTTGGTACATTTTGTTACATTTCATTCTACGTGTGAATGGGGTATTAGACAACTACACTTTACATTGGTAAAGCCAATACAGGTACTGCGAATATTTATTGTAAAAGATATGTGCCTGGTGGATAACGATTGACATTAATTGCTTTAAACAAGTTTTTGTATTTATTCATAGAATACTAACCTGTGAAATAAGAAATGACTATACTGTAGTAATGGAATATGTTTGGAGATATGGTTTAACAATGAGATTAGCTATAAAACACCTGTTTGATAGGCATATGGTAGAAGGTTTGCACCAGCCATATTAAGGTGAAATCATATTGAGATATTTCACCCAAAATAGGTCAAAGGCAACATTTTTACAAAATTTTGATTTTAATGTTTTTGAATAACTTGATACTTATATTTTTTTTAAATGGTTCAGTATATACTCAAGTAAACACCCCTTTATTCTGCTATAAATGTGGAACTATGGTACATAATTGATTTCAAAGCTTATTTGTCTTCATTGTACAGTATTATTATCATTTTCAAAAAATTGTTTATTATTTAAAAATCAACCAAATTAAACATGTACTAGGCCTAGGTAGGCCTACATACTACTACCGATGTCTGTGACAGTACATGTGTGATGTTGGTGGCGCACTTCACAGCTTGTTCCGTGCACTCAAGATGAATAAAAACTATCAATTTCTGTCAATTAATCGGCATTTTTTAGTTGATTTTCATCATTTTTTCAAAAAAAAAAAAAAAAAAAGAAGAGGGGCAGCTAGAAAATCAGAGGCGAACGGTGATGCTTAACAAGTATATTTTTTTATTTGGCCTTATGTTTTTTTTACTTGAACTTTACTTCAACCATATATAGACAGTTATGACATTTACTGTGAGTAGACCAATTATTTATTGAATGACATATAGTGAAAACTAGTTAATATTAAGAAATATTTAGCATTTTATTCAGTTTTTTTCTGCTATATATTAGATACTATCAGACATTAATCTCGGTCCTTTGTGATTCTCCTTTAAGCAAATTAAACATGTTCATGGTTCATCCCAGTCTATTTGTCCCCATAGCCAGATGTAAATTTTATTTTAAAGTGCTAATTAGTGGAGAAATTATATGAAATATACACTCACATTTTTTCCCTTTTGCATCAGTCTGAGAAAATATGAATGTTTGGTTTTTCTTGCTTTACTTAATACACTTATAAGTAAGGTCAGGTTATGTTCATGGATTAAACATTAACCATAACCATTAAGGATATGACCATTATTATAATAAATTAAAACATAAAGTCATAGGTCTGTGAATTATTTTTTTAACAGTGGTGGAAGTTGTCCATAATAGGATTGACATTTATCAAAATCAAAATAGAATTAAGTAACATGCACAAATTTTAACCAAAATAGAACATTTATACTTTCTTTCTTAGCAAAAAAAAACAGTATCCTGGAGTCTCCTGGTAAGGGCTATAATAATTATTAGTAGCAAAGGGCCATTACAATGGTCTTTAGAGACCTGAAGTTTGAAGAGGTTGACTCAGGAAAAGAAACTTTTAGCACTTGAAAGAATTTCCAAATATAGAAGTTGACATTTAACAAAATCGTAATAGAATTTAATAACATGCCAAAATATACCCCTGGCACGATATGAATTCTTTTCGCAATCTATTGGGAAGTACTTACCACAAGGTCTTTTTATCACGTAAAATCATACTTAGTAGTATTGTAAAACTGTATGGGCCTGATTTTACTTTGTCAGTTTTTGTTGTTTGTTTCTTTGTTAGTGTTCGTATGCTACTACATCAGGTAGAGGATTTTATGTTAGTAATGTGTTTCTACACTGTGTAGTTCAGAGTGTTTGTGTCTACTGCACACTTTTCTATCATCTCTACTTGAAAGAGTAAATATGGTTTGAGGAATGATGGTATACTCATTATTGCATCATAAGTTAAATATAGAAATGATCAGTCTTGCTTTTTCGTGAGGTTGAAGAATTATTAGCTGGCTTTATTTAGTAAAGCCTACGAAATATGAAACCATTCTTAGGCCTATGTACAAATGACAAAAATAATGTGTAATTAGGCTTACCGCTGCCAACATGTGAGTTAATAGTAACCTGAGCTTTTATTTTTAGTTTCACTTCTAAAGGGCATGGTTTATTGGGTGATGGATGTGGAGTAGTACTAGGCACCAGTCTAATGAATTTAGCAAAACATTGTTTTGGAAATGATCAGTAAATGATTGATCATAAACAGAGGATAATAATAATATATGTTGTTAGACAAGTGCCTTGTCCAAGGACATAAGCAAATTGTACAGCAAAGTATTGAACCTCAAGTGCTGCGCCAAACTATATCTTTTCCCATCTTGCACCATCATAAGCAGTGAGACTTTTTTCTAGCTGTTCTATTTATAATAGATTTCTAACATTAATTGAAACGTGTCACTTTGGTTGTTTGATGTTCAGTCGCCTTGACAATGCGTACTGCTACGGTAGGGAATTCAGCTAAATGATCTTTCTAAATTTAAATGAAATTAACATCTGTGACGTTAATGTTGCCAAATTCACCATATGGGGGAGATAGTGTACACCAGAAATATATACAGTACAACATATGTAAACCATAAGAGAATAAATATATCAATTTGATAATGCAATGGACAAAGAGATAGGCATATTGTCTATCACTACAATAATAATCAAATTTTGTCATAAATATTGATAAAATGATATTTAAGTTTGGCATCACAAAAGGGTTTTGTTTTATTATTATTGTTAATATTTCAATACTACTGTATTGCTTTTAGAATAATTATTTTACAAAAAAAAATTTAAAAAATAATTTTATTAGTATTTCGTTTCTTCAAATTGTTACATTTCTCGTATTTTTATTATCTTAATTGATTATAAGGGCTATTATTTTCGTATTTAAAGTTAGACAAATATCACAGTAGCATTGAGCCCTAGTTACTGATTACCAATAGTTAAAAGGAATGATTAAATAAAATAAATAATTATCATCTTCATGGTGTTTATATTAAAATGCAGAATAATATTATACATTTTAGTAGATTTTGAAGGAATCAAGTTTTTTGAAATCAAGTTGAATGTTTTAATTGATACCTCTTATGATGATGCATAATCATGTTTGCAGTTGTACTAATATAGTTCTCCATGATTTCCCATGGGTAATTGAGCTATGAAAATGGCTAACTGACGATATAAAAACAGCTAAATGGATGCAATGCAACACCATTTATAATCAACCTACTGTTAATAACTTATTAAAGGGTGAAATCACATGAATACGTCAATGTTAGGATGTAAAACAGTTTTTATTTACTTTGTTTGCTTTATACGAAAACTTGTTCAAATAGAAAACGAAAAAAACGAAAATTATTTTAATAAATACACCAAATACTTTCCATTTCTACCAAGATTTACTTTTGAGTCATAATTTAACTTGAGTGTATTTTCCCAACGTGTTACTTCTTTTATGTGTGGAATTATAAAACAAACAAAAGATATAAAAGCATATCTAATATATCTCTTACAATAATATCATATCAGATTCATGGTTTTCATTTACAAAGTGCAAAAAGTAATTTATCATAGGAAGCAAAGAACATAGGTCAGTCACACACCCCTATATAGATAAACAGCAATGAATTTCTGAGTTTTGTATACTCAATGTAATGATTACAGCAACCTATGAAACTCATGTTTCCTTTTGAAAGTATCTCTTGAGAGAAAGCGCACTAGAATACCCACTCAATTGACCCAATAGGATACACGTAAATGGACCGCATTGATTAGTAAATTGCACCAAGTAATTTACTTACATCACACTTGATTGTCAAATCTATGTTTACCAGATGTACTTTCAAAGTCAGTGATATTGTGAACTTGGCATAGGAAATCTACATCATTATCAGCTTCCTGAATGCATATGTAATATATTATGTTCTGCCTCTTTCACATTTTGGTGTGAAGACCAATATGGATTTTCATTGTGAATTTAGCTAGATTTCTTGTGGCATTTGGTGAGGGAACATCAGATTTGGTTCTATTTCATGGGGTTTGTGAATACACAGCTGGTTGCTTATAATATATAATCTTAGAAGAACAATATTGTTCCATTGTACTTGAGGTGTTTATTTACATATATTTAGGCTATTACTGTATTGCTTTTTGGTTTTGCAATTAAATTTTAGGCAGTGAGCAAATATTTATTAAATATTTAAATTCCACATCATGATTGCTTGAAGTTGAAGAAGCAATGAAAGAGGAGAAAAGTATCTAGAAATTCATCCTAAAATGTTGCTTTAATTTTTGGTTCTTTGTTCCTTCTAGCTTTCGAACCGAAGCCAGCAAAACCTAATGATCATCCACCCCTGTACCTTTGTTTGAAAGTATACCGACCGATGCAAAAAACATTCATAGCTAACAGAGATTCAGAAGCTATTAAAGCCAGAGGAAAAGTACCTGAATACTGGTTTGCTATTCCACGAGACAGGTAAGAGAATTGCCTGAACTAAAAGTTTCAAGTATTGTTTGCTCACAGAAACGGTCACACAGCGGTGTGGGCTATCCTTTTGGAGCTTGTTGGCTAGACTGAGAATGAACATAATACACACAGGATTGGTATTAGCAAGTAGAGGCACAAAGATAACTTATTTCTAAATGCCTGATGATACATATCATCAGGTGGTCAGGGGGTTTAGAGGATACCCACAACTTGTGTCCAGTCCTAATGTCCTCTTGGCACTCCTGGCCATTTTCTGATTTGTAATTTTGTGCCGAATATGTAATAAATAAATTATAAACACATGGTGTAAAGCCTTATCCCTATATATTCTCAGTGTATTACAAAATATGCAGTATTATTTAATATACTTTTTTGCTTTCTTTGTATTCCTCTTCTAGAGCGGATCTTCTGTACGATTTCTTCCTTCAATGGTCCCCTGAGGTTTATGGCAAGGAGGACTTGTACCATAATGAAACTGGATTTATACTCATCGACCAGGATGACGTTTCTATGAATATCGTTGAAGACTTCTTCCATGATCCAATAGAAAAAGACTGGGAGGTATGTGTATTATAACCAGACTGGGCATGTATATGTGTGCTATAAAACAAGGTTGTTTAGAACCCGAAGGAATTTATTTCAAATTCAATATTATGTATGAAAAACTAAGAAATTCCTTGAATCAATGGACCCTAATAAAACTAAAGTAACTGAATATTTTACACTTATTTTAAAGACTCAAGCATCGAATTTCATGTAGGCAGGAGGCCGCGATCATTGCCTAGCCTATATATGAAATCATCATATGATTTTACCTGTCTGCACCAACTAGAGAGTGATTACTGAATTCTCTCAAATGCTTTAAATGATATTAATGAATTATTGAATTCATTTGTTAGTTCCTAACTTATTTGATACTTTAAATTAATAGCATTTGAATAATTTGCTTCATAAATTAAAATAAACAATTGTTGGAACAATGTTTTTTTATAGATTGTTACCAAAGATGAGGCTAATCGCCGTCGCATGACCATCCTGGAGTGTGAAAGAGACCTTCCTCTCCCCGATGTTATCGGGGAGACTCTTTTGCTTACTAATGAACATATACGCCAGGTATGTAACAGCAATCATACTCTTTGCATATGCAAACTAATTTGCTTTTGCTTTTCCTGGAAAAATTTAAACATCAAAATCACAATATGTCACTTTAAGAAATATCCAGGGTACTAAAGTGCTGTTATTATTAAGCCTGTCTACACTATAAAATTTTCTGTGACACATGATTTGCTATTATGTAGGGATGATGATGCTCGTATATGAACATGATGATATTGTATCACACCCATATATTGTATTATATACCGACTACATAGATTCTAGGCATTTGATTGGTTAAAAACAGAGTAGTTCCAGCCACGTCCGCTAATGCATACAATCAATGTAGTGGTATATAAAACGTCATAGTTCAAAATATAGCCATTGGTGATCTGTCCCTCTACTTTGTCTCGGGCCATAGCACAGCCTCCAGATCACATCGGGCAATATTTTGAACTATGACCCAATTACTCAACCCAGTAAATATTTGTATATCATATCATACCCATATATAGGCATATCAAATAATATACAAATATTGACTGCTCATGAGGGGAATTGTGAAATCTATTGCCCCAAGATTATGTGGAGACCGTAGCCTATCTTCCGGAGGGCCGGCCCGAGGGAAGATAGGCTACGGTCTCCACATCACTGAGGGGCAATAGATTTCGCTGTTCCCCAAATTTAGAGCACTCAGTATTTGTTTTATATACCTCATACATAGATTCTACGAGGCCTAAAAAAGTACTTACTTCCTAGCCTATCATTAGAGGCCTAGGCCTACTACTACTACTCCTGCTCGACTAGAGTTTGTCTAACTCTTCTTTGCTTATTTCCTCAATTTCAACAGCACCCATTGTCTTGCAATATTTGTTGAATATTGTTAAGACATATTTAATTTGTCTTTTGGTGCTTTTGCTATCGGCTTAATCAAGAAGTAATGCTAGGCCTAGGCTAGTCCTTCTTCACCTCAAAACAACCAGCCTCCATATTTGTTTATCGTCTACTCACTGATCTGTGATGCGGTCAAGGCTTAGATCTCATCGTAGAGGTCGCAATCCTCTTACCGTCAGCAGCTCGATGTAGTGGGCCTAAAGTTTGCACATAGCGACAGGTCAAAAAAGTACTATTTTTGAGGGGAATAGTACTTTCTATTGCCCTGCTTCTTAACCAATCGGATGCCTAGAATCTATGTATCAGGTATATAACATAATATAATTCATGTGTTTACCTTAGATACTGTATATAACTCAATGAAAAAAAACTTTAAAACAAAATTTATTGAGAACATGAATATTTCGACCCTGCGCTAATAACAGTATTGCATAATTTGCTTGGGTGGACAATACAGTATTTGTCACATAACTTGCTTGTGTGCCAGACAGTTACAATATTTATCACATAACTTGCTTGTGTGGACAATTACAGTATTTGTCACATAACTTGCTTGTGTGGACAATTACAGTATTTGTCACATAACTTGCTTGTGTGCCAGACAATTACAATATTTGTCACATAACTTGCTTGTGTGGAAAATTACAGTATTTGTCACATAACTTGCTTGTGTGGACAGAGCTTCAAACCACGTCTCGATGCTGTTTCCCAAACATAACACCTATTAAAATATTTATTAAAGATATTAGTAATTGTTCAAGTAGGTATGAAAGAAAATTAAATGCAAACCAAATATCAACACATAAATTCAAATTAAATACTCAAAATTCAGTGATGAAAATAATAACAAAATACATTGAACAGAACTATAGCAAATTAATACATAGGCAATATATAAACATTTATGTTTCATACATTGAAGTTGCTAATGAATGCAGCAAAGATCGATTTCTTGAAACTACAGTATATATTGAAAGCCTTTAGAGAAAACATTATTAAACATAAAATATTTAAAGGATTCATTTTTTTTGTGTGTGTTAAAGCCAGGTTCCAGAGGGAAAAAATGTTTTGATATGTTGTACAACTGATTATTCCAAGACACAAAAAGGGTGACAGAAAAATCTTGGGAATGGTTAATGAGATACAGATTTTTGAATATTTAAAAACTGGGGGCCTAACCACCCTTTCCCTTAGTTTTCAAATATTCAAAATATTGACTCATATGTACAGTCTTGTATTTGGAAGCCCAGTACATTGCTGATGCCAAATACTTCCACATATTGGTTTATTGCCAACCTCATCAACTATTATTATCATGTTTATTGCTGCTATCTTGGTTTATCATTGAAAGTTGCCAATGAACATTCAGTCGTTTTGTTTTTTTATATATATATATATATATATATACAGTATCTGTACTGTCTGTTGATCTTCATAATGCTTTAGTGCAGTTTGCAGATTCATTCACCGAGGTCAATAAAGACCGGCATTTTTTTTTTTCATGACTTGCTGTTTATAGTTTGTTGTTGGGAAATACATGCCAGCCCGTATCGAGGGTCACTCATGGTGCCTAGTGTACAGTACAGCAGAGCATGGCTTCAGTCTCAAGAGTTTATACCGAAAGATGCAAGGGGAAGAAGGTCCAATGTTGATCATTATCAAAGACACTGACAATAGGGTGAGTGGGGAAACACCTGTGCCTTTGTGCTTTGTTCATCCAGTGGATGTGTTATGACCATAATAGTGGTTTGATGGTGATTATAATTATGCTTGATCGTGATAGTGGTATGATGTTATGGTGTCGTTCATATGATTAAACAATAGAGTAAAATGAGAAGAGACTAGGACCTTTACAGATAGTGAAATTAATTCTACATCAGTCGTAATTGAGTTACTTGCAAAAGATATTTTCCTCTTGGAGAAGACACCCCTTACATTATAGTAGAACAATCCTTTTCCAATAATGTATTCGTTATTAATTTTTATTTGCTCAACAGTTATTTGGTGCCCTCACCAATTCCCCAATGAAAATGAGTGATCACTTTTATGGGACAGGGGAGACATTCCTCTACCATTTCCTGCCAGATTTGATAGTTTACAAGTGGACAGGCGAAAACAATTTTTTTGTAAAGGGTGACCTCGACAGTATTGCCATTGGCGGTGGAGAGTAAGTAGTGTGCATTTATGCAAAACCTTTTCATTATATATTTCAGGTGATAAAACTTGTAATTGTAAACTTAATTAATTGATTATTTGTAATTGTAATTGTAAATTTGTAATTGTAATTGTAACTTGTGATTTCGTAACTACCTCTTGACTGTAAATGTATAAGTTACTAACTATGCGGATGCACATAAGCTCACACATTTGAAAATGTTGTTGAGTTGAGTTGAGTTTGATAGTTGAGCTTGTAATGCAGACAATAGTTTGGCTACAGTGGTTTCACAAAATTGCTTTGTTTATATGACCATTCATTAAAACCTTCAGCAAAGCTGTTAGCCCGCCCTCTATTGATTTTTCAACGTACAACATGCTTTTGGCAGAATTATCTTGCTAAATGAAAAAATAAGTTCCAACTAACCCATTCATTCGCCCACCCATCCCCCCTTAAGTTCTTCCAGAATTCAGGGTAGCTAACAAGCTATAAAAATAGGCTCCCATCGGGAGCATGTGTCTATGCCCTATACAGCCTTAGTGTGCAAGTATTATGTTTACTAATAAAGTAACCACATGGGGATTCAGATATTAGGAAATGTGTGGTGTTGTATACTGTAGTGACTTTTTAGTGATCTTTCTAGGACAGGTCTTATATTCATTTTATCTTTAGCTCATGACTCATCCCATCATTCCTTCATACAGGATTTACTCGATCTTACAGGGTTAACTGCTAGACGATAACAAAAAAGCATGCCTAATTAACTTTAATAGTGGATATGTGTAGTTGTGCCATGTATAAACAATTTTTGAAAGGAAAATAATTTGTTTTGATAAGCTTTTTGAATCTTTTACTTTTGTCTTTCCCAGTGGAAAGTTTGGACTCTGGTTAGACGGAGACTTGTATCACGGTCGCAGCCATACATGTAAAACGTTCGACAATGAGGTTTTGTCACAAGAAGAAGACTTCACAGTCAGCAACCTGGAGGTGTGGAGTTTTTGTTGCAGCTGAACTTGAACAAGTTATTTGAGAAATACACTTATGTATTCATGAACCATATGTAGATTTTCAGTGAAGATGAACGTGAACATTTCAAATGTCTAAATGGATTTTCCCATTGTAAGAATTAAATATGTGTAGTTGATTATGAATTGGACTACTTGTTTATTGTGGAGGAAGAATACATTATATTGCGGTCCAAGACAGGGTTTATGTTAGGGTCATAATATAATATGTCACGATCATACTAATGAGATCTGAATTAATGATCCTACTTTGACATTGCCTTTTATGTTCTTATGTTTTGTAATTTACGTTTTTTGAAACATAATTATGAGCAGTTTTGAAATTATTTCAGAAAGATATAAATTTACATTATGGTATTCAGCATAATCTCTCAATATTTTGTTTAAAATTTAAACATTTTTAAAAAAATCAAATAATATTTTATTTTAAGATGATGAAACATTGCTAAATGGGTTTTGACAGGATTTGAACCATTGACCTTTGGGTCATAAAGCAAGCCTCTTAACCACCAAGCTATACAGCTCTACCACTTCATATATCACTAAGTTTGAATAATGGTTAATTAATTTGTATTGTTAATAGAAGCATACATGTTTGACATTAAGTGTCATTACTTATTCAGAGCCTCCCTTGGATTTTTTGGGCATAGGCCTAAACATGAAAGATAACCACCCATTTTCATGTGATCTTGTTTTAAAAATTTGCTTAAAATGCTTTCACCAAACCCGATGTCCCTTTGTTTTTTCAAATGTATGCCGTAATTACCAATTATTTATTGGTTGAATAATTATGTCAAGATTTGTGATATCAAACTTTGATGTACTTGAATTTATAGGGTTTGTGCTGAGATTAATATTCTTTGTTATGGACAAGTGAAAGATCACCAATCTAAAATTGATTTATCTTTGCGAGCCGGCTTAACTAGACAGAATAATTAAGTAGAGATGAAATATGGTGTTTAGGAGGGGGGGAACAAAGGTTTTGTTGTGTCTATTCCCCCTCGGGGGCAAAGACACTTTTGTCATCTGGCAGTTAAAGATGGCTGAAATAGTAAATCCGGTGAGGTGCATGATGGGTCACAAGAAGTCAAAAAAAAAAACATCACACATTTCCTGATAAGTATAGGGCATAGACACATGCTCCCACTGGGAGCCTGTTTTTTAGAGATGACATTAAGGAACCATGTCACTACAGTATATATATCTTGATATTTAGGAAATTAATAAGACCAAGCACAAAAAAGGATAATATTTCAGTAATTTCAGATGATATTAATTTATGACTTCATAAACACATAATTATATAAATATTTATTTTGAATCTGTTATTACATAAAATAAAATTTCATAAATAGGTTGTATGATTTGGTCAAATTATTATTATTATTATTATTTTCCCAATATTATGCACAAGGAAATACAAATCCCACCAATCTCCTCAGATCTGCCTGAACTATTCCAATCTTGACACCAATGTTAATGAAACTACTTCTTTTGCTACTGTGTTCTGCCTGCCTGTTAGCCACCTTGTGACTTTACCACGTCACTCATGATATTTAATTCATTTTAATGCAATCCATTAGGAACTAATGTTCGTGCTTATATGCACATTCCATACGCACATTTCTACGTATGCCTTTTGTCTTCCACCATTATACTGTCCACTGTTTTGTACCATTATTTTCTGTCGGTACACACATATTTTTCTTGCTGCCACATATAGATCCAATAAACTTGAAATTAAAAACTTAGTTTTTTTATCTGTTACTTTTTAGAAAGTAGAAAACATGCGATTTAATTTTATTATAATTTTTGGGTAACACAATTTCTTTTAAATTTACATTTAGATGCATGTAAATTGCATATGATTCCCAGCATTCACACAAAGTTATCATGTGTTATATTTGCTAAGATTTGCTACAATTAATCTACAATACTTAATATTTCAATTTATGTACTCAAATTGCATTGTGTAGGTATAATTTTGATTTTCTAAAAATGACAAATGAGTTAATTTTGGAAGGTTTCTGATTTAATGCCAGTACAGGAGTATTGTTAGTGTTAAATTTAATTGCCAGTGAATGAGCACTGTTTGTACTTTGTGTGTCAACTGTGCAATATATCAGTTACAGTGGCAATTATGGGACTATACAATATCATCAGCATTAGTGTTTCAAATGCTGATGAACATATCCAAAAATGTATAGGAGGTACCAGTAATAGGTAAAAGCAATTTGGTATGAATTATGAATATTATTGTTGTTATTATTATATTTATTATTATTATTACAATATTAATATTTTTATTAATATTCCTAAAATTATTTACTATAAGTTTTTTATTTATTATTTTATAATAGATTTATTATTAGTGATAATGTTATTATTGTTAGCATTAGTGGTAGTAGTAGTAATTATTGATAGTATATACTGGTATTTGTTATTTTATTATTGTATTTAAACCAGTTTTACCATTGTAATTATTTTGTGTAATACTCATGGCTACCTGTGAATGTTATAACCCAACATCTGATATAAACGAAGTCATGGTCGTCGGGATGTGTATTGCCGATGACAACTGTCATTGTGTTAGTAATGATATAATTATATAAACAAAAGTATAAATTGTTACTATATCAGTAAAAATTATCCCTCATTCCAAATGTGGAAATGATTCAAAATGTAGAATTGTGAATGGGTACCGAGTGTGTCCATGAAAAAGAGAAATTATATTAACTTGAATAGTGGTAACGAATAATGTAACCATATCATTTACCACAAGTCATATTAGACCTGGAAGGTGTAGAGTTGTCGTGTTTGCGTACTTATTTCAGAGTTTATATGTTGACTATTTTATCTAGTATTTGGTGTAAGCATGAAGGTACATTATTAATAGTGCTACGATGCAAGCAAGTTACTTTATTTTAGCGACATATTGATATTGGAACATAAGATTTGTTGCACGACAGCTTGTATCAGAAATCGGTGTAGTTATGTATGATGTAATCTTACCTGGTTACTTCATGATGAGTGTAGATCATTGGTAGTTTTATTTCCTGTCTTTATCCCGACGAGAAAGCGTTGTATAATTTAATTACCTTTGAAAGAAACTTAGCGGATGAAAAATAAAACATCTCGGCTGAATTCAAACAAGATTCACATAGAAACTTGTACGTTAACCTGTGATTAAACTGTGAGCGATATATGAAATCTTGAATATATCCAGAGTTTTAGCGTACAGATATTAAGAACAAGAGTTGTGGGAGAGAGCATTGTTCAATCAGGACTTTAAATGATTGGTCCAAGTTGTCATACGTTTTGACACTGACGTCATGCATTGCACAATCAATGAGGCCGTGTATTGTATGGACGGCAGTTGATTGAATTTGGTTTTATAGATTCCAATCAAATTGGTTTGTGTACTATGATCATTATGATGTTCCATGTCAAACCTTAATAAACATGAGCATTTGTCAACTTTAAGTGTTTCATAGTATATTTCCTGTAGTGTCAATGCTCTATTTGTCGGATGAGACATTTGTAAACAAAATTATATAGTGTACTGAAAGTTAATTACTTCAATTAATTTCGATTTATTTGAACACTACTGTAAAATTTTAGTTACTGTATTCTGTTGCCCCATTAATAAAGTATTAAAACAAAAACAGAACAAAGAAACTTATCTATAACCTTAATAACCCTAGTTTCTTATTGTTTTACAAAAATTAAACAGCATGCCACTAAAACAATTATAACTAATAATATTCTAAAAAAATTTAATAAATACTATTTATGATGGTAAATCATTGGTTGTAAAATTGTCCAGCACACTTATATACTTTATATCATTTAGTTTTAAATACATCTTAACACAATTATTTCATTAAAAAAATATACAAGAACAGTAATATAAGGACTGCTCTGTGGCGGCTGCTTTTGTTTGTTGGTACAGAAGCTTATGGATCCAAAGAGCTATACCAGCAGTACCCTCGCAGGTCTGAGGGAAGGACCAGTGATAGAGCAGTCACCGGGTTGGAGTATGGGCTAATCACATGCACAATATTAGTAATAGCATTGATTTTTTTTTAAATAATAAAATTTACATCCGATGTGCAGTGCCCTTGTCGGATTCCTGGCAAAAACAAAATCAGAATTGTCGACCAAAACATGGAAAGCAGAAGAAAGCGAGACACTTAGATGGCGAGAGAATAGGTGCAGTAAGAATACAAATTTATTGATACTATCATAATAAAAATGAAATCGGTTTTCAGTTAATAAATTGTTAAAAAAACATGTTCTTTTTGATAAAATGATGTACAGTACTGCACTTCATTGATCAGCATCATCAATATAACTTATTTAACTGGTGCCACCAGATTTTGAAGTAAAGTCCCTTTCGTTTTATGGAATGTTGAGATACAGTGGGCAGCCCCAGGTAGGTGACTCCCCCTTAGAGTACTGCAGTGTTGCGTCACGATACTGCGTGATAATACTCCGTTGCTATCGTTGCAAAACACTCCACTGACAAACCATTGATCCCAATTTTTAACGTTATTACAGTATTAAGATGATGTAGCTTACTTTTTCTTTGTAAATTTTAATTGATGATTAAATGTGTGTTCGATAACTAATATAATGCGAGCTTTTGTGTTTTTAGTACATTTTGATGGTAAAATATTAGATTTTTAAATGCCTATTCCAGAAAGCCTATAAAGTCATTCAGGCCTAATGAACAGTCACCAACGTCTGTTGACAACAGAGAGCGCCATCTGGCGACACGACTATGGTACTCTATCGCACACAACACATAAAAAAGGTAAAAATTTTCTTTATTTTTTCCAAAAAAGCATGTATATGAGCATTATGTGATAAAAGGTATTAGAACAGCTTAAAAAAGCCAAAAATTGCAAGATGTTTTTAATAAATTTATTTTAAACAGTTGATTTTATCAGCTACACCAGAAAAGCCATAAATTCCACACTTCCTTCCAGCAATTTCACAACCAATGTTCAAAGCTTCAGAAAGATCTTGTCCTTGGTTTAATGCCCAAATAACTCCACCATTGAAGGTATCCCCGGCACCCAACGTATCAACTACCTTCTCGGGAGAAAAAGCTGGGGCATGGAAAATGGCACCATCTGCATTCCTTCCCCAGGCACCTTTATCACCCCATGCACAGATCAAAAGGGCTCTACAAAGAATAAACATTTGTTCATGTGAATTTATCTTCATGATAAATTTAACATATTTCAAGCTAGTTCACAGTCAAAAATAAGAAGGGTTGGTCAGTATGTTTGTATTTTCACCTAAGAAAACTGATTGTAGACTCTGAACATACTTGTGAAGACCTGGTTTATCATTCAATAGAATCAATTTTACAGTAAAGATCTGGTAAGAGAGCAATCAATTAATTGCCATTCAGAAAAATAAGATGGCCTAGCTGGTAAAGACAGTATACAGTATAAATAAACCAAGAAATGAACCATAATGATAATATTTCTGATGATGCTATTAATATTTTAATAATTGATGAAAATGTTCTTACCCACTTCTCAATTTACCATTTAGACCAGATAATGCACTTTCAGAAGTTGTGTAACCACGACCCATTGCATAATCTTTACTTATGAATACCTGCAAAATGTGAATTTAAACAATAAACAGTGTTAAGAATATGTGAATATACCAGCATCTCCATTCTTCATTCCGTTTGAGAACTCTAAAGCCGGACATTCACTGCATCATACAGCAGTCGCACAGCCTTCGTACGACAAATCTAACTGCACTCCCTCTAAGCGCTAGACGACATTACGCCGTCTGCTGATTGTCCGTGACAGTCTGAAACAGACCGTCATTAAAATTTATCCGTTGCGCGAATCATGGTCTTGTGTTCTCCATAGAATCCTGTCGGTCCCTTGTCAGTCATTAAAGAAACTGATAAAGCTCAGAATAATTTGAAACCTACCACATGGCCCAGGGGTAGAAGTTTGTCGATATCTTTCGCTTTTGGCTTCTCAAGTTCAATTGAAATCCTTATGTGGTCAGTACTGTTTAAATTGAAGTTCTCAATAATTGTAATCATTTCCAAGACGCTGGTGATATTTCTACCCTAAAAGAAAAGTAAAATGTACATTTTACTGACGATTCTATATTACTATTAATTCACAATTGTAAAAAATTACAACAAAATTTTTAAAATATGCACCTTGGATTTTTTACTTATAATTAGCACAAATTGTTGCTGTAGCAGTAGGGCTGTATTTCCAATCTAGAATTGGGCATTCAAGTTTGATGCTGGCCATTTGTTTTTATCTATGACCTAGGAGTAGAAGTGGGTACTGGGTAGGTCTAATTGCCAGTGTACGGAAGACTGGCATAATGTGCTATGGCTATAATACCACATTGAAAAATGAACATCTTAATTTTAAAACTGATTATGTAAAATTTCTGTATTTATTTTAAAACTTTAGATGCAGTTTGATTTATACCAAATTAATTGTGTAGTTCATTATAATTCAACTTGCACTTCAAAAACTTATATTTATTTTGAAATGAAAATGTCACATGTATGATATAAAAAAAACACTACATGTATATCACCTCAAAATGGATCCAACTATATTTTGATAAATTAAGTTTAGAAAAGTCATCAACACTGAGCTCAGGCAAAGAACTAAAAGGAAACAAAAAATATAGTTTTAACATAACAAGTAAATAAGAAAATCTATAAAATTGATTGAGAGAGGCTGTAGCTTATTTGGGACACACCTCACTTTGACCTCAGGGTCAAGGGTCGCAAACAGGACATTCTTATTTGAAAAACTTCACTCAATAAGCTTCATACTGAGACTTTGTATTGGAAAGAAAGCTGGAATATGCACAAGAACCAGGGGCTTAGCCAGAAAAATGAAATAGGCCATCTAAAATGAAAGCCAGTGGGTGCAGCCCTGAGCCGATGGGCGGGCCACGCCCACTCAAGGCCACGCCCCTCCCAAACATAAGAAAAAATAATAGAAAATGATGGTCTTTAGAGGGCATTTAAAGGTGTTAAATGTTGGAATTTTGTCTTCAAAGGAAGTGTTGAATTAGCTATCACAAAGATATTTCAGTTATAGACATAAATTGCACATAATGTTTCTAGGCTATGCAGAAGCATCTTCATCTCTCGCCTTTGTCTAGTGTAAATTCTACTCTAGGTCTGCCGAATCGAGAGATAGGCCTAGACCTACTGTATTTTGTTGACTAATAAAATTTAACTTTGGAGGTTAACAGCAAATTTTCTTTACGGTATTTCATGAATTAATTATAACCAGAGAGTTACGAACACCAACAATATTATGTCGGGGAACCGAATCTCAAGTATTGTATTTCCAGAGCCACGTGCATGCGTTGTGGGGGCGACTCAGAACCATCCATTTTCCAGCGGGGTATAAATGTTTTTAACACAACGCGTGTTGTAAGTGAACTTTTGACCGGGTAGGCAATGGTTAAGCCTTACATTTTTGGGAATCCCCACCGAATATTTGTATGCAAAGTACATTCAATCAATAAATGTAATTTAGCTTTAGTTTAGGGTAACATTCGATAGATTTGAAGAATATAAAGAATTTGCTAAAGGTAGACCAGGCCCAATTAGGCTAGGCCAAGCTGATTAGACCAAGCCAACACGGTAAAGGTGGCCGTCCTAAATAATTGTTGGCCATCCAAAAGACAGCTGGACGGCTCACTGACTAAGTCTATGACTAGAACCCACTCCTTAGGGACAACCCTATTAAGGGGACACTTTTGAGTCCCGATGTTGTCCCCTTAATAGGGGGTCTACTGTATTTTTATACATTTAACTTACTTGTTACCATGACATATAGTTCTTGTCCCATTTGTTGCATTTATAATAACACACGATGTCGGTGTTTCACAGTTTTCATGGAAACGACAATTCTCAAATTTCACATTGTACTGTTGGAAATCTTTCTTTATAATCCTGTCGAAAAAATATGAATAATTGCATTAATGTATCAATCATATAATCATTTTACATGATTCCTCATTGATTGGGCAATACTTGCTCTGTCGTGATATTGACTGTCCCTAGAGGCTACACAATTCTGAACATCTTTATGTGGTGTATTATCCATCTATTTTACTTTCTTTTGAAGAAGGCACATTTACAATTAACAAATATAGCATTTGTAAAGTGAGAATAAACAAGTAAGATTAAAAAAAGAAAAATATTTGTTGTATTTTACTTACTCAGAGAATACATGAGATGCTATTGTTCCGAGATATTCTACTGGGCCCCCAAGTTGGGAAGCTACCACAGATGTATTGCCTGCATTACCACCACGGTTGAAGAGCTGTTTAATTGAACTGTGATAAACAATGTCAAACTCAACATATTACTAATTGTGCTTTGTGTATTATATGGTACAGTAATTAGCAATACTACAAAGCAACAAAAAGATATAAAAACATAATAAATAATAATATAATAAAATAACAGCATGGTAAAGGTAGAAATAAAAGATAGGAGAATAGTCCATAACTCAGAGCATCATTGTTTTGAATTGCGTATGGGCGGGGTCTGTGACTAGCTACCTGCCGTAAGTAGGCCCTTTTAGTAGCTTCATTCAACAACTACAGGAGCTTCAGGGTAAATCTTCCGAAAGATGCAATGGTTCTTTAAAGTGCACACAAGCCAGATGTGTACCAGCAGTGGCGCCAGAAAATTACTAACAAGGGGGGGGCCCCCCCGAACCAAGGGGCTGACGAAGACTCAGTCGACGGGGAGAGTTTTTATGGCATAGGATAGTCCAAAATGTGCTTTTAGATCCCAGTGTTAGGGATCGGCAATGAAAATAACATTATTTGGATAGGCAATTATCATTTTTTTTTATTTTCCCCCCCCCCACCCACCTCCCACCACTCCATGTACACTAAAGGAGACAGCACCGATGTTAAGGCTGTAGTTAGCAGAGGTCCTGCCTTAAAGCTCGACCACTCAACTTGTGGTAAATCATGGTTAGATGCTTAAAAACGGTAGCCATGGCTACATTATAAATTATCTCTGAATATGTCACCACCTATCAATAGTGCAAGTTTGGGGGTGAGTGGGGGAGTGTGTCATCTGTTTTCAAAGTATCGTTTTCTGTAGGCCTAATCTTCAGAACCCCTTCCTTACCCCTAAGCATTTTGTACATGAGAATGAATCATCTTCATCTATCATTACTCATTAGTACAAATGCAGCAATGCATTTAATTTTTTATGGTTCTACCATCATTATCAAGCGAGGGTAAATACTGCTAAACACTAAGCTTACACATAGCTAAAGGAGTACTGTAATAAAAAATAAAGGTGATGCAGTTTGGAACAATGGGAAGACAGAATGACCTTAAGCTGATATCTACTGCTGGCAGAGTCTAAAACACTGAAATAATTGGCGCCTGATAAATCATAGCAGTGTTAGACCCATCAAGAATATGTGACAATTTTTCCCGAGCCAATTAAGTGCTCTTTCACTCATGTTGTTAGATGTCTATTGGTTATATACCAATATAAACAGAGTTACACTCGCACAATTAAAATTATAAATACTGAACACAAGCTAGATTTGTCGGAATGGGATCTTCCACGTTAAAAAAATTAAATAGTAGACTTAAAAACAAGAGCAACATTAACGTCTGTACAAAATTCTTTAACTAACTTTACATCGCGTATAATCAGAAAAGAAGCATAGGGCCCGGGGAACTCACTTGTATACCAACCTTAGGGGGTTGCAGCAGCCACTACAAGACATGAAAATTATCAGGGACTTCAACTACCATTTACCAAAATCCGGTGTTGGTTGAACTACTACTACGGCCATGTAACCTACCAAATTAAACTTGCACTGGTTCCCGATGACGAATAAGATCGCGGTTCTGTCTGTTCGCGATCCCTACTGTTTCTGGCTATGTATCAATGGTAGGTTTAGAGGTTTAGAATAAAGGTTAGCAAAAAATCTTCGCTAAAATTTGTGTGAAAAATTATGCTACTTTGATACGGGACAGAGCAGGGACTTTAACTACCAATTTTACCTTGATATTTCCCACACTTGTGCTACCAAGTCCTTGCATACCCTATACAAGCTGAAACTCTTCCATAAATTCCCACACTTGTGCTTCCAAGTCCTCAAAAATACCCCTGTAAATGCGGCACCTACCCGTATAGAAATATTTAAGAGTGAGCCCCCCGGGGCATAGGGTTAGTATTCAAGTGCAATAACAACCTCCACAAACCTGCAACCCTTTCCATTTGCTCTGATCCTAAAAATTCAAAATTCAAAAATGAATACAACAGATGAGTACTGAATATATTTACCGTGAATCAGTGTCCTCTATTGGGTAATGATCATGAACACTTACAATGTCCAGGCAAGCTAATCCAACCAAGAGCACACGTTTATCTGTCATGTTTCCCTACCCCTTTTTTCACAGATTTGGCTGTAAAAATTAACAATTATTTTTTAAACGCACATACACTCTTATAAAAGTATCTCTTTGGCGATCATGTCTTGTAGTCAAATGCTTAAAAGAAGAGGGTGTACTATTATTGATCTCTGCTATTTGCCATGAATTTAGGACTAGTGCTGTCCAACTATGTATGCCCAAGAGTGCAAAGAATTAGTTGCTTAATTGGATTTGAATTTCCAACAAAGCCTCCATGGCTCAGTTGGTAAAGGCATCTGCAAAGACAGTCCATGGTTTAAATGCAGGTTGAGGCAACTTCTTTCTTTGCACTCTTAGATTCTTCATCCCCTGGGGCACCACATGGACTTATCTCCTGGCGCTTACCAGGTACCGCAATGTGGTGGCCACACTGTCGAACACGCCACTCTCATCACCACTGTCTGGGAAATCCTATCACCGCCACGTGCCGCAAGAATGCTTGTGATCCCGGTCTAAATCATTGGTATGGCCAGAGCCTAGTTAGTAGTAAAGGCCTAGGCCCAGCAGACAGGCCAAACATACTTATTTGGGACCTCCACTCCATTTAGCAAACCTTCTGAATAATATTTCCAAGCACTTCACTACAGTAGTTTACTAACTGGCATTCCAAAAGACAACATCAGTAACATACCCTGACATCAAGCGTACTGGCTTCTTGCGATCTCTCACACAATGTCGGAGTGTCTGGACTTAGTTTCCGTCGACATGACTGCATTGCTCTCTGTTTACAATCTGCGCCAACTGTAGTTCACGTGACACACGTTGTTTATGGGTACCTGCATATTACAATAAGGTTTTATGCGTTCGTTAATTCAATATGTTCCCACATAAATCTGTTTTCTATTAATTTATTCAAATGTGGTATTGGAAAACTTATTGCAATATTTTGATTTTCTAATGTACTGCTTTTCACAAACTCTTATTCTGAATTCATAAAACTTAAAGTTCAATTATATATCACAACTTTCTTCAAATTTCTCTAAAGCCAAGATATAACCTTAATATGTTTAGATATTAATTAGGCCTATAGCCTATATTACACTTTTAAAGTACATGATCGAAATAGGCCTGGGCCCTACTGGAAATCCATGAACAATGTTGTGGGAAATGGTTAGATTTCGGTCGAGGTACAAAATCGATAAGCAAAACAAATGTAAACTTAAGTTAACAGTCAGAACCAGAAGTTTCGAGCAAAGCTAGTCCTTCCAGAGCTGTCTCTTTTTTGAACGTTGATAGAAATACACCACATAAAGTTAACAGGATTTTCATTGTTGTGATTTGAAGTAGTCCGACTGAAAAAAGTGTTTTGCCTTTAAATATACTGAATAAATCTAAAAGGTATTTCTTGCATTCAATCTAATTGTTTAGAATAGAGTCGCTTCCCCTTGATGATAATAAGTCAAAGTTCAATATACTTAACTTAATTAAATATGTATGCTTTATTCTGATCTAAATAGTTTCATTGTTATCTGATAGCCCTATCGTCTTTTAATTGTGACAAACTACTTCAAAAATAGTTCTTATTACATTTCGCGATTGTTAATGGACAAAAAATCTCCCACCACCAAAGCTGTATTGAGATTAAAGTTTACTTACTGTAAACATTGAACTATAGATGATATAAACCACAGGGGGTTCGTAGTATACTCCTTGTATACAGTTGGCATGGCGACGCGTTGGCCTATCAGGTGACCCTTGCACTTTCGTTATGTGAAACTCTCTAGGTAGCAATATATATTTTGTATTGTAGTTTACATTCAGTCCTTGGGTATGTACATAATTGTTAATGGAAACTTTAAATGGCAGGTAAAATTTTATTTTTGTGTTATTATTGGTTTTTATTTGAATTTACAGAATTTTTAATGAAGATTTTGATTGTTTTGCCATCTATAAAACAATATAAAGCAAGAGTAGAAAATCATCGAACGAGACACGTTTCAAAAGTTAGCTCACACAGTTGGTACTTAATGAAGTCACAATGTAATTACGTCACGACGTGGTGTGTTTTGAGATAATGGAAATCCAGTTTGCAAGTTTGAAATACGAGCATTTTATCTTAATTAAGTTACAGTTTTGAACATTTGACCTGGTTACAATTAAATTTATTGATATTTATTTTAGATAAGTGATTGTGCTTTTTCCTGGTCAATAAAACAGCGCCATCTTTTCATTGCATCACACGGACGCTGTAACAAGGGCAACAGTGTGGTGAAGAGTATTGGTGGTGGAGGACTTTAGTCAATTAACAGTTTCTTATGAATGGGAAAGTTCTTTGTGAATAGCTTCCAATTGACACGTTTCAATCGACATCAACAATTGTTCACCAGAAACATCCTTGGTACTATCTATCGGCCAAAGAATTACAAGCTTAGTAGGCACACTCGCACTTCGTTGATTATGTAGTCAAATCTTTCGCAACATAAGTTACAAATTTACTTGGATTTGATGACATAACTATGTAAGGATCAAACATGGACTCGATTATGTAACAACTTCAGAAGACATTGACATGGTACGGTATACAGTATAGTTTCGTCGACAGGTAAGGAGTGATGACGGGAGATGACGGCGGTTCCGTTAATTAACTATCCTCCTGGATACAACAATGGATACATAACGAGCGTCGGAGATTCTGGAGTGGTCAGTGAATGTGGTAGTTTAGATAACCCGTCAACGTTAACCCACAACTTAGGTGTAATAGACCACGATTCAATTCCTCTTAGTAAATCCGCTGTATTGCCTGAATCGGAAAGTTTCGTGGACACAAGTGGTAAGCCTACTATAGAAAACGTTGTACCTGGCCTCAGTCTGCCGACCGTTGTAACTATACAACGCCCCCAGAATGAGACTATCATTAACCCCCTCCTTGATAACTGCTACCAAAGAGCTATTACACAAGCAAAGCAAAGGTTACTGAAAGGTGAAATACTCTATAAGAACGGAGAATGGAGAATCCCAGGAGCACCTGTTCCCTCTAGACCCGATTATTCGAAAGTTAAGCCTGTTAAGGATAAATCTAAGCATCGACGAAGAAAGGCCAAGCATCAACGAAGTGAAACCTATCCCCAAGTGGTTCTGAAGGTAAACATTAATAAACTTTAAAAAAATATAAATGTATATAAATTATTGTACATAGGCCTATACTAAATATTTAATTCAATATATTCATTTTCTTTGATATAGGCTTAGAGGCCTAATCGTTTTCTATTTAATGATCTTAATTTATTATTATTATTAGTAGTAGTAGTATTATTATTTTTATTATTATTTAGAATAAGAGTACGTTAGGTATAAATACAGTACTTAAATGAAAATAGATTTAGATTTTTCTAATTTGTTTTCCTCTCTATTATATTCTGAGTCTATTTTCGTCAGTTAAACTTATTTATGTGCACATAGACTTTAACATTTATATTAAAATACTCATAATTACATTCAATTTTATGGATATTTAAGTTGTTCCTCGAGGCATTAACTGGTAACACCGGTAACAACATATGCAAAACTAACAAAATCCAAAACAGCTCCATTCCATTATGACCGATCTTCCAAACAAACTTAAATACACTTTTATAAGGTAATTTTAGAACACTACACTGCAGTACAACGTTTTGCCCAATCATGGTCTTTTTTCATGCCGCATCTTCTTTTTAATAATATTGTAAATTTTTGAAAGTATTTCCCGTTCTGTATAGTTTTAGACGATTTTATTGTAAATGCATACGCAATTCAGCTCTGGCTTTTTGAATAAAGTACACACACACACACACATACATATATATATATATATATATA